TTCCAATTATCAGAAACCGCAGTTGTATGGTAGCTTGCGGCACCGGCAGTTAGAGGAGGGGTATCAATACAAAAAATTACTTACCCCGACCCCTTCTACTGACCAGATACAACCCACTCCGCTGGGGATACCCCAAAGTACAGTGTGCCCTGGTTATAGTACCTGCTCCCACTGGCCAGAGTAAATTTCGTGAGTGAAGGTCGCGGTAATTGAAAGAAAACATTAGAATAAGCTGGGATCTAGCATTTGTTCTCAATATCAGTTTCAATGGGGATTTCTATTAGAACTGATGTTTGACGCGCACTTGGCGCTCTGAAAACTACCGCAACAATGCTGAGCTATCTGAAAAGCCCTTAGGCAGAAGATAGACCCGCATTTCACGTCATCAGGCGAGTGCGGTATCCGTTACGTCACCGGAGCCCATCTTTAATTCTTAGCTAGGTGATTTTTGTGCTGATGGAGCTGAGGGCTGTCTGTTTCCATAGCTATTTTTAGAAGCATCTAAATGGCAATTTTTTTCTCTCTACAGCAAAAACTTTCCTAGATATATTTGAAAAATATTGTAATTATTTAGGTATGCCCATTGGAGGACCAGGAGGAATGCCATCGAATGTATTTTCGACGTCACCACCATTTCCATATCAGAATGCAATGCTAGGTGTCACTAATAGCATGTCCAATTTGACCATTGGTGGACCACCGCAGATGTCGAATCAAATCCGTCATGACCAGGCATTTCCAAGTATGTGCTTTTTTCACGTTTTATTTTCTGCCACTATAGAGCTGTCTAGCATTTTAGCGGACAACAATTTGGAGGGGTGCTCAATGTATTCTCGGTTTAGGTATGAAGGAAAAGGCAGAAAATTCTGAATAAAATTTATTTTTCAATGTAGTCCCCATAACCTCAATACACTTGTTTGCTCGGGAAACTAACTTTTCAATACCCTCTAAAATATTTTTCCCCTTGTCCCTAAATATGCGTTAATTGCCTGCCTTCAGCTCTTCATCGTCAGAAAACGCTTTCCTCGGAGATCTTTTTTTAGTTTGGGGAACAATAAGTAATCGCTTATCATTTTCTCAATTTTCTTTTCATTTTTCTCGATTTTTTTAATTAGCAATCATTTTCTAAAACGTTGTCTCATCAGCCATTCTGGTCTTCTTTCACAAGGATAATTGGAATACCTGATTGATGATAGCTGAATGAAATTTTGTATTTTTATCTTCGTTACCTACTGAAATTATTCAAATTCCTTCGTCAGCGCTAGATTACCCCGACACCGAGAATACTTTGAACGGCCCTTGTATGTCGAAATTCGTATCTCTTAGAATGCGGTCATTCTCTGCGTGAGCGTTTCGAGCGTGCCAGCATTCTTAGCGACTGTGCAAGTATAGGAATTGATCCTGAGTGATTTGAGCGCTAGCTGGCGTGCGCTCGGAACTTAGACGCAAAGTATGAACGAAGAGAAAGTTCGATAAGATTAAACGTATCCCAATATGTGCTACAAAATAACAGTTTACTTACAACACTCCCTTTAGGTGCATCGTCTGGACTTCCAAATTTACCTGCTCCTCATATGATGTACATATACAACCAGTCGAACCCACAGACACCAACTCTTGGCAACAGCCCAACATTTTTTGGTAGGTTTCGCTCACGTTAACTGGCAGATTTTTACGAGCACATTTTCATTTTAGTAGCTAATTTTACTGCTCGGAGGTGACCTTTCAACCTAAGCAGTGCCTTCACACTTTGCGTTAGCGGATTGAGCGACTAAGAAAGTCTAGGGATCGATCCAGCGTTGTGAGCTGATTCCAGAATATGCCGGCATTTTCAGTGTACGCCAGTATAGGGTCAAGCGAAAGATCGATGCCTTATACTACCCTAGTCGCCGGGAACGCTAACGCAATCTACGTACCATGAGCTTCTTCCTTTGCTACAAAAACACAAGTGTCTTTCTTTTCAGGCAGTGCTATAAATGGTATCCAGAATATGGGTCTGGCCCCTGGAAGTGGTATGCAAAACTATCCGCCATCACGTGCTCCCTTCTACAATGCTCAACCTCAACCCACCAATGCGCCGTCATATAGCATCCCCCAACGACGAATGATGGATGAAAGTGGTGTCAGGTGTGTGAAATACTCAGTGGCTATATGATTTTATAGTAACCGTTGTCTTAGCGAGGTTGTTGAATGATGGGCGATTTCTTGGCGAGTTTTTGAGGAGTGGGGAGTGGAAGGAGATCTTAGAGGAGGGGACTTAAAAATTTAGAATATTTTGTTGTCAGGATATGCATTACTGCTAGCCTCATTTGGCCATTCTCCAGAGGGGTGAGGGTTTTGGTGGAAGCCTGTTTCCTTTTTTTGCGGGAGTGGAATTCATTCTAGCTTTATCTGATCTCCATTCCACCCGGCCAATATCAGCTGTAACCCATGGATAGATTTTTCTTGAGGGAAGGTTTTGGGCTGATATCTAAAAACGGAAAAAATAATTATAAAAGTTATTGCTACAATCTTGTTCGCTGCGGACTCTGAAGCGTTTTAGTTGGGCTGAGTGTTGCGCGGAGCCGGCCTGTTCTGCACCAATTGTGGTCGCCTGCCAGCTTCCGTTTCTGGTGAAGAGCAGGCTGGCGTCGCGCCAAGCCCACCCCCTCCCCCCCCCCAATCGTAAACACCCCAGCGTGCGCACTGAACAAGACTAAGATGTTAGCAGTTGAAAGGGATTTGTGTTTCAGAATTCCGGGTAATCGTAGCCACATTTTGGAGGACTTCCGGAACAATCGAACTCCTCCACTACAAATTTCCGATATTCTGACGCATGTTGTGGAGTTTGCCAAAGACCAGCATGGGTCGAGGTATGGCTGTTATTTTATTTCGAACCCTTTTCTTATCTGAATTGTTCACACTGTGTTGAGTTTCAGTTGTCTTGCTCAGAGCAGAGCTTCGTTTCTTCTTTTTGATTTTTTTTGAGGGGTCGTGGGGGGAGTAGAAGGAGGGGACCTTTTTCCTATGGGTAGTACGATGTTATAAGAGAAAAGCTTTGAATCGCAGTGTTCAGGTTTATACAGCAGAAGCTCGAGCGAGCCTCAGTCAAGGAGAAGCAACTGCTTTTCGAAGAAGTGCTCGCAAATGCTCATGCGCTGATGGTTGATGTTTTTGGGAACTACGTTATCCAGGTTCAAAAAATCCTAATAGATTAACACTGTTGTCAAAGAGAATTACGGTAATCGTATTCACAATATTTTAGAAGTTCTTCGAGTTTGGTACGCCAGAACAAAAAGCAGCATTGGGTCGTTCGTTGAAAGGAAATGTCATGAACTTGGCACTGCAAATGTATGGATGTCGTGTGATACAGAAAGCTATGGAGTCCATTGATGAATCGCTACAGTTGGAAATTCTCCGCGAAATGGAGGGCCATGTAAGCGATTTTTACCATGCAGGCCCTTTTCAGCGGCTTCTTCTTATAGATTGCCGTCAGTGAGATCTTTCGGCGCAATTCGGCGATGGGGGGGGGGGGTATTCTGCACTTTTACTTCCCTATCTCTTTACTTTCCATCGACATGTCTATCAAGTGCTGACCTGTGAATCTTCTAAAATGGAGCTAGTAACCAGCGAAAGCGCAAAATTGCAAAATACCCCTCCTTCCATCGCCGAACTGCTCCAAATAAAATTCTGCAAGTATCGGTACTTTGAGTTCACTGTAAGCATTGCGGCCACTAGCATCATTTTGTCTAAAGGCAGCTATTATAAAAAAATAAATAAAAATAAAATTATTAGACTCATCGGTCATGATTTAGGTACTGAAGTGTGTTAAAGATCAAAATGGCAACCATGTGGTGCAGAAAGTGATCGAAAAAGTCAAACCGGAACGTCTCCAGTTCATCATCAACACATTCACAAAGAATGGTCCAGATACGGTGAGACATGTTCAAAGAGATAACTTTGAAATGGTTGAATTATGACTATTGTTCAGATCACCCAACTTTCAATGCATCCATATGGCTGCAGAGTAATACAGAGAGTACTGGAACATTGTTCGGAAGAGCAAAAGCGGCCGGTACTGGAGGCGCTTCATGCCAACATGAGCACATTGATAGTCGATCAGTATGGAAACTACGTTGTACAGCATGTTATTGAGCATGGAAGTAATCAAGATCGTGATCGTATAGTACAAGAGGTTGGTTTTTCCGGTTTCAAAGGTAACATTCACTCTGGTAAGGAGTTCTAAGTAAGCTTCAGCGAAATTAATGTACTTAAAGAAGTGGTGATGAAGAATGACTGAAGTGGGGCAGGGTAAGGGAGTTAGATTAAGTGGCCTATGTCAGGGTAACCAGCGGCTTTTCGCCACGATATCATCAGAATTAGCAAACTGCTAGCCTATTGTTTTTATGTCAGGGAGTTTTCGAGCTAGGTGTGCCGAGATATTGCCCGAATGCGTATGAGCTCCAGTGGAACTTATTGGATTTTCTTCCAGGTAGCCGGTAATGTGTTGCGATACGCTCAACATAAATTTGCATCGAATGTCATTGAGAAGTGTTTGATTTGTGCTGGAGGACATCACAAGACGCTACTGATTGATGAAGTTTGTGGAACACCAAATGAGTAAGTAATCGTACCTTTCATGGATGGGAAAGTCGATGCAGTTTGGCTCGATGGGGGCATTCTGCTGGTTCCCATCGATCAGTGTCGATGCTTCTCAGAGAGACCTGTAAATACCTGTAAAGCTATGTACTAGCAGGAGCTTCGTTCACACTTGACAACAGTCTGCAAGTCTTACCAGGGTGTCATCTGTAATTCAACATTAGCTAATTGGAGAAACTAGCAAAGTGCAGAATTGCCACTCCCCTTAGCCGAATAGCGCCGAAAGATCAAGTAGGAACTGTGATGACTTGAGCAATATTAGACGTTTTGCAACATGATCACTGAGCCGCGAAACGACGTTAGTTTTTCAGATAGAAATATTTTCTTTTCAGCCCACAGCCCCCGATTCTGTTGATGATGAAGGATCAGTTTGCAAACTACGTCGTGCAGAAAATGTTAGACATAGCCGATCCAGTGTATCGTAAAAAGATGATGTATGCCATCAAGCCACATATACCGGTACTAAGAAAGTATAGCTATGGAAAGCACATTATTAGTAAGTTTCTGCTCGATTTTCTGATTGTGTTTTCGAATTATATGAATTTTCTAGGCTTTTATTGGGTCTCAACTAGAAAAGGTCCGTAATATGCGATTACCTAAAGGAATATCTTTCCGTGTACAGGGTCGGCAGATTCACAGCCGTACAGCGTAATCCTTTTCTCAAGCGAAATTGCTTGCCAAGAAAGTTAGAGGCTTGTGATTGTCTGATGGTTTCGCCATCTCCCATCATTAGGTCCGCCATACGGCCAAGCGATGCGTGCCTCTGCGCCCTTCTGCCCTGGTCGTGTTCGCTGAGTTTGATTTTGGCCACGGATGGCTCTTCAGAGGTGATATCAGATTTCGTATTTGAAATTACCTCTTAAGAAGCTCCAGTCAAGCAGATGGAACAGTATTCTAAAGGCAAGGTGCAGATGGGCAGCGCATATTACGTGGCCGCTCCCTATGGCGTATCTGATCTTGGGCGTAGACAGCAGAACCATGAAGGAATCACCAGCCGTCAGTCCGCGTTCATGCTTTGCGACTGAGGAGATTCGGCGATTTGGGAGAATTGGCGGAGTTCACGCGATGATCGGCGCCGACGAGATTTTTCGATCCGGCATATTGGGAGATTGGGCGGTCCGCCGTCTCGAGAGATAGGCGATTCCAGAGA